AAGAATTTCAGTTAACTTACAATGGTAATCATTAAAGGATTCGAATCGATAATATGTAAGAAAAAGTTTGATGAACCAATAACTCGTGAAGTCAACATCTTGGAAAAAGTGTGGAATCATAATTTCCACATTTATGTGAGTTCAAGACTCAATGTGGATCAAGTTTTTAGTATTTAATTACTTTAATATTATAATATTTAAAGTCACATTTATTTCTTTATATGTGATAGCTTTAATATTCAACGTCACATTTATTTCTTTATATGTGATAGCTTTTAGTTTTATGTATTAAAGATGTGTAGACTTTAATCGTATTCTTACAAGGAATCTGATCGGGTATTTTTCATCCACTTCACCATTTCTATCATTCAATCTTAAAATAATAATAATAATAAATTGTAAAATTGGTCTCTAATATCTTAAAAACTATAGTTTGAGTCCTTTTTATTTTATTTGAAGTCAATCTAAAATTGAAACTTTTGTGCATATTTGGTCTTTGTGGTATCCAAAAGATTGCAAATTTAATCACTCAAGTTAACTGTCGTCTAAACATATTCAAATGTATTTTTGGTGGGATAACAAGGAACCAAATTTGTATGGAAGTTTGATTGGAGTGACCATACGAATGAGAAAAAAAAAAAAAAAAAAAAAAATTCAAAGTGCATTTTTCTCAGGATACCACATGGATTGGTTTTACAATTTATTCATCTTTTAACAATACATAATTTTTTTAAAACTTTTTCAAAACAAGAAAAAACCAAAAGCTATAGTTTATTTAGGGAGTGTTGTTTTGTTTTGTTTTTTCTAATTAATAAAAGTGCTTATTAATTTAATTTATCCAGTGATAAAATTAACTTTTATAAAAAAAATATTTAGATTAACTTATGCTGTACCAAAACATAATAAGATAATAAGTTGTTTTTAGTGTTTAGCAAATTATGTTTATATGTGTAAAATGATAATTTTTTTTTTTACATATTATTGATATTTATTTTATTTTTTTAATATGTTTTAGCCTTTGTCATTTATAATACAATATTTGATAGAAATTTAATATCAATAACATTTTTGTATGTCGTCAAATAACAATTCATATTATTGGGTGGAAAATGTATTATGGTTCATAAGTTGTAATAAGCAAATTATAAACACCAAGTATAACCTTTTATATTTCTGTTTTAGGGAAGCAAAATAATAAAAAGATCATATAACTTATATTGTATTTATTTAAATAAAATAAATCCAATACACTTATTACCATATTCCTTCATCAAAATTTGTGGGATCATGAGAATTGTGATAGCAACATGTATATTTCTTGGGTCGATGTATGCATGCGTATAAAAGAATAAATGTATCGTGAATATATATTTTTTGGAAACGGTAAATTGTATTAAAATGAACCCCGACTAGCAAGTAACTAGCAAGGTAACATGAGTACAAAAACAAAGCAAAAGTTTTTCATGGAAACAGACACATGAAGTAGAAATTAAAAATGAAATGGAGAAGAGATCCGGTTTTCCCAATCACAAACTCCTTTGCTCGTGCACTTATCCAAAAGAATATGAATGACTTAATGGCCCCGGCACCATAAGTGGGATTTTGGAACATTCCATTGAACACCCAATCATTTCTAAATTTCCACATAATCCAGATTAAGCCATGACAGATGGTGATGAATCTCATTCGCTTCCTTTGGGGCATCTTCCCCAGTTTTCTGCAAATACAATTAAATCTCCACCTGATGTGAAAGACTCCTGTTGTAAGCCGCACCGAGTGAATATTACCTTCCCGACCTCGCAAGCAAATGAACAATGTATAAGAATGTGGTCAAAGCATTCTATTCCATTAACACAAGCACCACATTTGTCATTTTCGATGTTAACTCCTTTACATCTAAGTGCCACTGCAGATGAGATCTTCCTTTGTATCGCTTGCCATATGAAACAATTAACTTTGATCTGGGATATCTTATTTCATTTAAAAGTTGGTAAGATACAATTGGGGAATAATAATTGTTCTAGTTTTCTCCTTAGCGTGCTCACTGTGAATTGGATGCTTTTGTCTATTGTACAAGTCTAATGATCTTCTCTCGGTGCCAAATGTACCGTTGCTAAATCATTAATGAGATTATTCATGTAATGCGATTCCCTGTCTTCATCCACACTGATTTCCAGTGAGCTTCAAACTGATTATTAACAATCCTATGAGCCACTGTACATTTCTTTCTAGATTCCAACTAAAAAGGGATGGATATTTTTCGCCAAGTGTAACCGAACATAGCCATTTGTCGTACCAATAAGTTGTATTTTCATTGGATTTAATGTGTAATTGGAAAATATTCGTAGTTTCTAAACCAAATTTTTTGAGATCATTTTTGCAAGCTGCAATGTTGTTCTATACTCCTCTTATTTTTTTGGTTTGAGAGATACTCATGAGGTTTGTTGTAAAGATTATGAATTCCTTTTATAACATTGACTTGAAGTGAATACTACTTAGTTTTCAAGCGCCACCACCATTTTACTAGCAGACTAGTGTTCAAGGTACGAATAGTTCCCACACCTAGACCACCTTCAGATTTGGGAGCGACGACTTTGTCCCAAGACACCTAATGAATTTTCCCTTTACTTTTATCTCCACCCCATAGAAATCTCCATCTTGTTTGATCAATCTTTTCCATGACAGCCACCGGGGCTTTAAAAAGAGAGAAAAAAAATATATGGGAAGGTTCCCCAATACCGAACTGATTAATGTCACTCCTCCCCCGAATGAGAGTGTCTTTGATTTCCAAGAAGATAGCTTAGATTGGAATTTATTTATGATTGTTTTCCAACTTTTGTTTAGATTCATATTTTCCCCAACTGGAACTCTGAGGTAATTGAAAGGAAGTGAACGCGCTTCACATCCAAGAATGCTAGCCCAATTCTCAGTCTCCTTAACAGAAGCACCAATTCAAAATACTTTTGATTTGTGAAAATTGAATTTAAGGCCCGAAGATGCATTGGAACGTTTTAAAATATTGGCTAAATGTTTTAGGTTGGATCTAGACCATTTCCCCTACGAATAAAGCACCATCCGCATAGAACATGTATGATAGGATGGGACCATGATTTGGGATTTGGATACCTTTAAAGATACCCTTTCCTTTGCAGCCTCAAGCACTACATTAAGGCCTTCCATGGCTATGATGAAGAGGAAAGGGGATCCCCTTGACGAACACCTTTAGATATTCGAAACTTACATGTTGGTGAACCATTGATTAACACTGAAGTCCGGGAGGAATTAAGGTTACCGTGCACCTATTATCTCCATTTACTGCCGAAGCCTATTTGTGAGAGTACCGAGTCGAGGTAATCCCGGTTGATGGAATCAAATGCTTTGTCAAAGTCTACTTTAAACATCAAAATCTTTCTTTGACCACCTTTGACCAGGAGAGTAACTCATTTATCATTAGTGGACCATCTAATATACTTTTGCCTTCCATATAAGCTGATTGTACATCCCCGCTAAGATCTCCAACGACTGATTTAATTATGATGGCTAGGATTTTTGAGATGATTTTAGACATGCATCCCTAAGGTTGATGGGGCGGTAATTGGAGAGAGAGAGAGAGAGAGAGAGAGAGAGAGAGAGAGAGAGAGAGATGGGATCTTTGATCTTAGGGATTAGAGATATGAAAGTTGAATTACAACCTCTTGCAAGGGTCCCAAACTTGTCAAGTGAAGAACAAATTGCATGACATTGTATTTGATTGTCTCCCAGTAAGTCTTTATAAATTTAAAGGTTAGGCCATCGGGTCCATGAGCCTTCTCACTTCTGCATGCCCATACTACGTTTTTTACTTCTTTATAACTAAACGGAGCTTCAAGTTTGATCGCTTGCATCATGGAAAGGGATTTGAAGTAAGGTCTTATAAGTTTGGGTCTCGAAATCTTTGGTCTTCATAAATTTGTTTTTGAAAAACCGAAAAGCTGCGACTTTGACTTCATTGGCTTCTCAAGTCCACTTTCCATTTAACAATAGACCATTACTTCTTTTACACTTGTTCTTAATGTTAATAAAACCGTGAAATAATTTTTTATTTTCGTCTCCATCAACATTCCATTTCACCCGAGCCTTCGTTTCAGATCCATTACTACTAGTTTTTCTACTTCTAATATCTTTTGTAAACCATGGTTCCTGGCTTCTAATTTGTGATCAGTAAAAGTTCGTGACTCAAATATTTTTCAATCGAAGCCACCTCCAATTTAATTTTTGACATCTCCTGATTTGAATATTCATCTGATTTTTTCTTCCAGATTTGATTTCGCTTTTTAGAAATCTGATTTTTGCAGCGAGATATGCATCCGGATTGCCATACCCGTGAAATTCTTCCCATGCTTTCTTAACAGTAAGGTCGAACACATCTTTTAGTAACCATGAGTTAAATAAATTGAAAGGTGGAGATCCATAGTCTGTGGATATACTGATAAGGTGATTGGAGAATGATCGGATAACTCACGTGGGTGTGTTGTGACTCCAAGTGACGAAAAGGCTGCAGGGAAATTTGGGAATGCTAGGAACCTGTCCAATTAGCTCAATTTTGCACCAACGTTGGACATGTACATATAGATTTTGGCTGACATCCTAAAATCTTGTAACTCTGAATCCCGAATAATCTTGTTAAAGTAGAGGGCACTCACCGGACAAAAGTTTGAGTTAAATCTTTCTTCAGCTCTTCGTACTACATTAAAATCGCCAAAAATGGTCCAATCACCAGGATTTGTATTTTTGATGGTTGCTAAATCATGCCATAATTTCTTTTGTTCATTAGGGCTATGAGGCCCGTAGATGTTTGCCAGTATGCTGTCCCCATCTATTCCAACTCATTTGCCAATGATTATAAGATAATGTCTAGATTTAATAGTCTCTTTTTTGGAAAAATAGTTGTTGTTTTGGGCCCGTAGATGTTTAGGTCCACCGCTACAGTTCGGATTGGAATATATTTCATTATTTTGGACCTAATTGGATGTGAATGAGAATTTCATATTATTGTTGGGGAATGGCCCAAAATAACCAAGTGGAACTAAATTCTCCAATGACCTAAGAGTGTAAGTTACCAGTGGCCCATTTATAGGGGTGTAGGCATCACGTTCTTGATTTGATCTAGAATCCTTGTTGGGCACTTCATGCAACGTTCCTGTTTTAGGATCAGTTAATGCCTTATTACACGTATTCTTGTAATTTGGATCCAACGGTGCATTGATTGGAGACTTTTCGATTCCTCTGTTTACTGGTTTCTTTGTCGGGGATAGTGTTGCGGCCGCTGAAGATTGATGATCGGTCGGCTGGAAGTCAATCTTCGCCATGTCCACCGGTCAAATTTCTCCTTCTTCTGGTTCTTCCAGCTCCTCCTCCATCCAAGTTTTTGAAATTGTTTCCATGTTATCATCATCCTCCTCCGAGTCATCTACCTTGTCGAATGGAGCGGGTTTGAATGGAGACCAGTCGTCAGTGTACTCCACGACGCTAACCTTGAATTCATGTCCATTTGAGTTAACGATGATTTCGTCATTGATCCATCTCCTTGCTGAAGTGAGTACACCAAATTTTTGCATGGAGCAGACTCTCCTATTCGATATGCCATCAAACGGGTTAATAACATTACCATATCGATTGGCAATGATCAAGAAATTATTTTCTTCCCATAAGTACAGAGGAACACCTGTAATCTTAAGCCCTGCAACTCTTTCATAATCCATATCATATTGATCTGCCATAACCAACCATTTAAACCAATCTTGCCATCTATTTTTATCTTCTAGGTACTCTTTTGCTTCTACTGACCACCAAAAATGTATGTCTAGTTTTAGGTCTCCAAGATACTTCTTTTTTTCTTTTATGATTCCAAGTACGTTAGGTTAGCCATATGATCGAGACTATGTGTTTCACCGATTAGTGTAAAACCCAATCTTGAATGTATCAATCGAATTCACTAGAGTTGGTGCGGAATCCCAATCCAGTGAATAACACAAATAAGAAATATGGAGTAAGAACACAAACACGAATCTTCAATGCACACTATTATTAATCAATAGTCTGGTACATAAGATACATAAAATGCTCTCGGTTCTCTCTTTGTCTCTGCCAAACATGATATGATGTTCTTGGAATGACTAACTGGTGTGTTTGACTCTAATGTCTGACCTTCTACATGACTTGAACCCATACTATATATACTAAGATCTAAATACAAAGGCCCAACCCAATAATCTAAACTGAAATCATCTAAGCCCACCGAAATCACATGGTGATATCGGTCCAAGCACCACCGAGATCATGGAGATTTCGGTCCTAAACCGAAAGCTATAAAAGCTATGAAAAGCAAAGTATAAACCACAAATTTATGTCCTAACAATCTCCCCTTTGGTTTATAGCTTTCTTTCTTTTCAATCTCCTATTTGATCTTGACTTTCAGCTCTTTCCTCGATTTCTTCACGACTTGACTACAAGATGTATATATGAATCTTGTACATGAATAACTTCAACTTTAGTAGTTGGACTTCCTTCAAAATTTGAATTTGAACACACATTGGGTATAGAGGCTTCTTGTAAATCCGTACTTTCAGCTTTGAAATACTTCAGAGATAATTTTAGAGAGACCGATTCTTCTGGATCATGTTAGCAGGTTCATAGATAGCAGCAAATTGATTGAGGAGGCTTCAATGCAATTCGTCACATAACTTCAAAAATAGCTTCACCTTGCTTCTGGGGTTGACAAGTTGAGTGTTGAAAGAATAATCTTTACTTCCAGTTCCCTCGAATGAATGTTCTTCTTTGATCATAGATGCGTCTTAAAAGTAACCATGACTAAAAAGTCCATGTGGATCACAGAGTCATAAAGACCCTTCTCACCACAGTTGTTCAAGGACCCAACCTTGGCTCAGATGGAGACTACTTGTGGTTATTTTTGATGTTATCCCCTACATATCCTTGATCAAAGATCTCAATATAGTTTTTTAAGTTAACAAGTTAACTTGCCCCTTGGTGAGACGTTCAGCGATAATCATGCCTTGTGAGTTGCATCACCTTGGTGCCATGACAGTTCTTTGGTAAAGATAACTGACAAGACCAATTTGACAATCTATACAGTTTCAGACTTTCAATTCCATAAATGTAACAATTTTTAGAAGATACTGCCTAACTGGCAGTTTGTACATTTTCATGTCTCCCATTCCTTGTGGAAGTAGTGTGAAGTGTAATGATCGTCAATTCCTTTCTACGTTTCTTCTCCTTGATCAGAAAATTCCGATACAGTCTCCTTGAGTCTCTTCTTCCTTTGAATTCTCCTTGAGTCTCTTCTTAATTTACATTTTAAGACAAATGAAATTTTGAGATAAAAATAAAAATAAAAGTAAAAATAAACTTAGCACGCAATAAAACGACTAAGAATAAAAATAAAAATAAAATATGCTCAAAAATAACATTTTTTGGATTTTTTTTTTGCTTTTTTTTAAAAAGAAATAAAAGCAGAAATAAACATATTTTTGGATTTTTTAAATTTATGATTTTTGTTTGTTTTTTTTAATTCTCCCACTAAAGTTGTACATAGAGGAAAAATATGAACAAATTTAACAAAAACAAAAACGAAATAAAATAAAACAAACACATTTTAATAATTAAATTTAAAACATTTTTGGATCAATAGTTGTCAAGCAATTTAATATTGTTTATCAGCACACACCTGCATGAATATCCCTGGTTAATCACCAATATTGTGGTCCATTTAAATACAAAAGATATTTGCAAGTTGGACAGATTATAAGTGACAAGACATTGCAATTATATTCCTAAATAGAAAATTTTGCTGACGACGACCAAGGATATTGTTGTCCACTTAAATTCAGAAGCGAGATCTACATTCAGCCTTTAGTCATGAACCAATTCAATTTTAAGCGCACTAGAAAGTGTTCTCCACTTCACCACATACCCTAGTAATCAAGGAATTCCAAAGAGCTCTTTACTTTAGGTGAGTGCTCAATTATTTGAGAGATAAGATGGATATACAAATGCATATGTTGTATCCCAGGTCGGATCTCTTCCAATCATGCAAAGGGATAACATATGACTACCATATATAGAGGGTTAGAGAAATAAAAAAGATGCATATGTTGTGTCCCAGGTCAGATCTCTTCCAATCACACAAAGGGGACATCATATGACTAACATAGATAGATAGAGAGATGCATATGTTGCGTCCTAGGTAGGATCTCTTCCAATCATGCAGATGGGGCAACATATGACTGCCATAGAGGATAAGAAAGAAAAATAATTTCACATCGACCTACTTTATGAGAACCCTTTAGGCACCCTATCAACACCAGAATTAAGGACATAAGTTCGTACGTCGAAGAAGTGTTGAGCCATAGTTCTAATGTCTGACCTTTTACATGACTTGAACCCATACTATATACTAAGATCTAAATACAAAGGCCCAACCTAATAATCTAAACTGAAATCATCTAAGCCTACCGAAATCACATGGTGATTTCGATCCAAGCACCACCAAGATCATGGGGATTTTGATCCTAAACCGAAAACTATAAAAGCTACGAAAAGTAAGGTATAAACCACAAATTTATGTCCTAACAATTAGTACTCCTCTCTTTAACCAATCTCTCACGAATGTGTTGGGGTTTAAAGTGATTGAGGAGGTGTGTTGTTGGGGTTTTTTCACATTCGATTCACTAGTAACTTGGGCATAAGTGATGTTACCTCTTACCTCCATATAGTAAGGTTGAGCACTATGATAGATGTTGGATTTCATATTCTTCCTTTGCATGGGTTGCCAAAATGGTACTTGGTATTGATATTGTTGGGTTTTCCGTTGCTGTTTTGAGATATTTACCTCCAAAGTCTTGCCTCTACACTTAATGCTCTGCAGTTTTAGCTCCATTTCTTTAACATCCCTGATGTCGGCATATCTAACGAAAGCAAAGTTTCTTTTGTGGAAGTCCTTCTTCAACCCAAAATACACGTCCATTACCTTTTTCGAGTCTGCTGAATGGCTCATGTAGCTCCTCCTTTCCCGTACCATTGGCGAGTCCCGAGACATAATAGTTCATAAGTTCTTTGTTTGATTGAAATGTGTTCCTGTTCTTTCTTTTCCAAAATTTCATCCACTCTCCATTTGGTTGGTGACCTCTCATCTTCGTAACATTTTTCATCGTGAATAATTAAACTAGTCAAAATATTTCATATAGGATAATTTAAGTTATAATAAAGGTTAAAGATGTAATTAATAATTATTATCTAATAACGAATTTCAAATAAGTAAGAATGAATTAACTTATTATAATATTTTTATTTAAGCATATAACCGAGGGTTTGTAGCCTAGCGGTCAGATGTTGCCTTTCCTACTTAAGGTCGAGGGTTCTAGTCCAGTCGTGGACATAGGACATATGTGGAATTGAGGAGTAGTTTAGAATTAGATTAGATTTGTAGTTCAAACAATATCTAAACACTCAGAATGATTTATTTGCAACGACATAGGTGGAATTGAGGAGTAGTTTAGAATTAGATTAGATATGTCGTTCAAAAAAAAATTTAAACACTCAAAATGATTTATTTGCGATGCAAAACCATAATAAGTAGTTTATATAAGCAATCCCAAATACCCCCTAACTTTTGGAGAAAATGAAACATTTTGTAACATGATTTTGGTGTGTACTTGTTATTAATTGAAGCTTTTTTGAATTTTGGAAATTTTATTCACTAATGTATCAATTGATTTAGCTTTTGTAGCTACAGTTTCTATACATTCCCATTTATTCATGCACATATCGGTTTGAATTTTATCCATACATTACACATCCTTGGTTTTCACTAGGGATGAGAGTGGGTCCAAACCTGGACCGGTAGACCCGACCCCGAAAAACCCAGGAACCGGTTAACAAGATTTTGTAGGACCAGAACCGAACCGATATATAGGAACCGATTCAAGATATATTATGGGTAAAGTGATTCTAGAAACGAAAAACCCCGGAAACATTAAAGTGGATCGGGTGGAACCGGGTAAAGTGGGTCTTGAACCGAAAAACCCGAGAAATCCGGAATTTTTTGGGAATTACTTAGTGGTTGAACTTTGAAAATTTTCAACTTTGATATCCCAACTTCGGGTGCCTGTAAGTCATTGCACATTAAACAAAAAATAACAAAATTATAGTCTAATTTCATGTACAAACTCTAAGCTACACCACTTAGATTATTATTTATTAATAAAAACATGTTTAAATAAATCATTCTATGTTTTCAAGCAAACCAAACCCGGAAATGAAATGTGATAATCCATTTTATTACCTTACTCATTTCATTATGTTATCCATTCAGTTCCTTGGACATTCCATTTCATCATATCAAAAAGACCCTTGTATTTTTTAACTAATAATAAGATTGACGAATGACGATTTTCTATGTTAATTTCGGAGGTATTTAGTTACATACACTTTGAGGTGTAATTTTTTAACTCCCTTTTATAATTTAATGTAGATCATGTTAACAATATAAACAAATATAGTGTATCCTTTAATAATAACTAAGCGTAATATTGGTAATATTTTTTATATGCTTAGGTCAAGGGAAATTGTCATAAACGCCCCTAAGTTTTAAAAAACTGATGGTTTTACCCTTGGACAGATTTTAGGGGTAATAAAGGTGGATACTTTCGCTAAATGTTTCAAATATCTCTTTTAAGAGGTTGCTTCCTTAGTAGCCGATTACCTATGTGTTGATTTGGCACTTTAGGTGACATGTCAAACATGGACCCCATTTTATAACCCTCTCCCACATAACCCCCTGTTTCTTGCATCCTCTCGCATCCATAATATTCTCTCACGCAAAATGCCAACATCTTCTGCAAAATCAAGCTCGAATGTGAATTCACGATTCAAGAATAAGATCAAACTGAAGTGTGGGTGTGAAGATTTATACCTTATGTTTGTTTCACACACACCAAAAAATCTAGGCAACAAATTTTGGGGGTTCCCTAATTATAAGGTAAAAATCATTTTTCCCTTTTCTTTATTTAATCATCCTGAGATTTTCCGGTGGGATTGCACTATGGGTATTATGCACTGACCTAATTATGTAGGGAGAAGGAGGTTGTGGGTTTTTCAAATGAGTTGAAGATGAAGGGGTTCAAAACAAGATATGTCAAATCGGCTTATAGAGCAACGACAAATGATGACATTAATGCAAATGGTTGTTGTTTTGTTAGGGGCTATATTGTTTATGTTTGTTGTAGTGGTATACAAGATTTAGTAGTAGTTGGTGTTATGCCACTAGTATTGTGATCTTGAAATATGTAGCTTTTTGATGGTATTTGATAGTTTGGTAGGCATATGTAATGTTAGGATTGTCATTTGTAATGTATGGATGTTAATTGCAATGTTTGGATGGTTAATTTCAGTAAATGGAATTTGGAGTACAAGTTGGTTTTTTTAAAATACATTGCATAAAATGGTATTTTAGTGGATTGAATTAAATGGTAGTTGGTATGTATTTGCACCTTTGCATCAAGACTCAGTAGGGATTATGCCAACATCATTGTTTTTGAAGAATGGAGAGATAGTAGACCAGGTTGTGGGTCATAAGAAAGATAAACTTAATGCTTGTATATGCACAAAATGGTATTTCAACAGTTTGAATTAAATGGTAGTTGGTATGTATTTGTACCTTTGCATAAAGGTGCATTGCATAAAATGGTACCTAAAATTGTACATTGCAAATACAATTGGTGAATGGTAAAAATTGTTAACTATTTTAGTAACTAAAAGATTGAACATAACATGTAAATAAGAGATTGAACATAACATAGAAGGGGATATATACATTACATATAGTTTAATTACATACTACCAATATTTAGTAGCCATCTATTTGTACCAAAATGCCTAAACAATGCATAAAAAGGCAACCTATGTAACACCTGGTTCCGAAAGTGCTTCGTTGCTAAGCGCTGCGGCCCAATCATCAGTTGTCATGGGGTTAGGGCCTTGAGAAAGGAAGGATTTGGCCTATTTCAGATGTGGGTATTAGGGTATACGAGACCCAAGTGTTTGATTGTGGCTTTGGAGGCCAAGAGCATACTCGGAATTTGACATCTCAGTCCTTTGAGGATTTGGGTTCGTGTTCGGGAAGCTTTAAGGTAATAAGGAGTTTTAAGAAGCGTAGGGCTTCTTGTAACCTTTTTGTGGATATAAAGTTCGTCAGAAACGGACCTCGGATGAGGAAGATATTACACAATGAAGTTATTGTTAATTGTGGTCCCTAATGGATAAAAGTGGCAAGAAGGTACCATGCATGCAAGGTATCATGCACGAGAGTACACCCAAAGAAAACTGGGGTATGCCTAACATAAAAGGTTGCTTGGACGCGAGTGTTGAAGGCGTACGCCCAACATACGAGAAGTACGCCCAACGTACGTTTAGAGTCGCTAAAACCCTAACTCTTAGGATTAAGCAATATACAAGGAACAATATAACTCAAACCCTAGCCTCCCAACCTCAAAAACCCTAGATAATCGTTCATTCCTCATCCTTGTGTGATTTTGGCCTTGGGAAGCTCATTGTGGTGTTTAGAAGCTTGAAAGGAGAAAGAAGAAGTTGAAGAAGAAGAACTTGAGTAGCTTAAGCTCAAGGATATGCGATAACACCACTATTTGGCACTCATTTGAGGTAAAAACCTTCTAACTTGCCTCATGAATTCTTAGATCTATGTTAATGGATTTTTGGACCTTTTATAGGTTCCAAGAATGGGTTTTTAGTGATCAACCTCGTTTTAGGTCTAGGGTTGCCATCCTTAGTGTCATATGAGTTCCATAAGCAGTAAAGTTTCAATTGTTAAGTTCTATTTGTGGCCATGCATGAGATCTACCCATTTCCATGGAAGTTTGTGGCTATAGTTTGGGTTCATTTGGTGGGTTGCAAGCCACCAAGCAATCGACTTTATGGATTAAGACGTTGAAGAGGACTTGGATTGGTGATTATAGTCTCTGGAGTAGAGTATTAAGAACTTAATAGGAAAAGAGCTTAATAGAGCAGTACGTTGGGCGTACATGTAGGTACGCGTAGTGTACAAGCCACACAGCAGGTACGCATTGCGTACATCTGAGTATGCCCCGTGTACTCATCTGATGTGGGCTTTATGTCTTTTGGGCCTCTGTTTGGGTCAATCTTTGGACTTATCAACTATTGGGACTTAATGGGCCATCAAAAGTCAGATATTAAACTAAGGACATGTGTGGGCTTAGGCAAGGCCCATTTGAGAAGTTGGGTTAAATTTAGAAAATTGGCCCATTAGTGGAGTTAGAAAGATTAGATGGCATTGGGCCTTGGATATGGTGCAAATTAGAGCAGGGTTAAAATGGTCTATTTACCCTAAGAAAGATTATTGGTTTTGGACTAAGTGTTATTTGGTATTTATAGCTCGGGGAGCCGAAGGATTAGCAGTTCGGGGAATTGCCAGTTATTAGCCAGAGGATTATCTGCAAGTCTTCAGCAGTGTAAGGTAAGTCTCCTCACTGTTTGTATGGGTCTAAGGCACTAATGCTGACCCATTTAGTTTATGTATGGTAGGAGGACCCGGGGGTTAGCCCTAGACATTATGTATGAAAGCCCAGGAGGCGGCTCCTGGCATATATTATGCTATTTGTATGGTAGGAAGACCCGGGGGTTAGCCCTAGGCAATATGCATGAAAGACCAAGAGGTGGCTCCTGGCACACTGTATGCTAAGTAGCTAAGTAGAGTAGTATGTATACTAGTTCTCTTTGTTATTGCTTACATGGAATACCCAGAGGTGGCTCATGGCACTTGTCTGTAAGACGTAGGGGTGGCCCTCGGCTTGGCAAGAAAGACCGTGGCGGCCCGTGGCATAACGACAAGACTATGTGCGGCACATAACAATTTATTTGATATATGATTGATATGTATGGCTCACAGTTATATATGGATAAGTTGATATGTATGGTATGTGGTATCTGGGGAACCCACTAAGCTTTGTGCTTACAGTTTACAGTTTTGATTTCAGGTACCTCCAT